CAGCTGAAATTATAAACAGTAGAGTTTGCATTTATATTGTGTTTAGGATTCACAAAAATCTTTTCTCAGAATAGTCCTCAATGAGGTGGATAGTATGGCATTATTATCCCCATTAACAGATAAAGAATAAAGTTTCAAAGGGGTTAAATCACTGACACAGCTCAAACCTAGATTTCTGCTACACTAGTATGCCAAGATCATCATTTTTCATTTTCTTTCTCTGACCATCTCCATGCCATGTGTTACTGTCCCTCTCTCCCTACCACAAACACTCTTTCCAGCTCTAGATCCATTCCTAAAAGGATATGTAATCGTTTCCTTATGGCACCATGAGTTCCTGTTCCCTTTCACATCTCTAACTAAAACATACTTCCCTGTCCCCTACTACATATGTATCGTCTTCTCCATTAGTGTGGGGCCTCAAGGCCAGAGTCTGTCTTGCTTACTCGCATTTGTATCTCCAGCTCTTAGCTTAGTACCTTGTACATAGCGGCACTTAACAGATTTTTCAGTCATTTATTGAGACCCTATAACTTCGTGCTACTAGGCCTAAGATGGGAGAATTAGAGTAGGGATATAAAGAATTATACTTTTTATTCCTCAGGTAATTTAATTATATCCTGAGAAAGTATCAAAATATTTCTGTTTTTCCAATATTGTCTAGTGAAATGTATAATTATTTAAGTCCCAGAGAAAGTACTTGAAAAATACATGTATGTGATTTTTAAAAAATTATATAAACATAGTATGAATACAGTTTTTTCAGCTTTAATATGCTGCCTCATGACAGGAACCTAGATGAGATCAAGCACTCAGTAAACATTTTTAAGCACCTTATAAGTGCTAGTGATACAGAAAGAGGCAAAAGATAATCCCTGCTCTCAAGGAGCTAACAATGTAATGGGGAAGATAACATGCAAACAAATATATACAAAGCAAATAATATATATATGAAATAGGAAATAATTGAAGATATTAGAATAGGCAAAGAAGAAACAAAGCTATCACTCTTTGCAGATGATATGATGATATCCGTAGAGAATCCTAGAGAATCAAGTTAGCAAAGTTGCGGGCTATAAAATACACCCACATAAATCATCAGCATTTCTGTATGTTACCAACAAAGCCCAACAGCAAGAGATAGAAAGAGAAATTCCATTTAAAGTTACTGCAGACATTATAAAATATTTAGGAGTCTACCTACCAAAACAAAATGCAGGAACTATGTGAACACAACTACAAAACACTTTTCACACAAATAAAGTCGGATCTAAATAATTGGAAAAACATCAGTTGCTCATGGGTAAGCCGAGCTAAAAAACAAAAATGACAGTTCTTCCTAAGCTAATTTACTTATTCAGTGCCATACCAATCAAACTACCAAAAAATATTTTATAGAGTTAGAAAAAAATAATAACAAAATTCATTTGGAATAACAAAAGGTCCAGAATATCAAGGGAACTAATGAAAAGAAATGCAGGGGAAGGTGGCCTAGCATTCCAGATCTTAAATTGTATTTTAAAGCAGCAATCATGAAAACTGCTTGCTACTGGCTAAGAAATAGAGTGGTGGATCAGTGGAATAGATTAAATATGCAAGACATAGTAGTCATTGACTATAGTAATCTATTATTTGAACCCAAAGACCCAGCTTCTGGGATAAGAACCATCTTTGACAAAAACTGCTGGGAAAACTGGAAAAGAGTATGGCACAAACTGGGCATAGACCAATATCTTACACTGTATACCAAGGTAAAGTCAAAATGGATACATGATTTAGATATAAAGACTGATACTGTAAGCAAACTGGGAGAACAAGGAATAGTTTACCTATCAGATTATGGAGAACAGAAAAATTCAGACCAAACAGGAGATAGAAACATTACAAAAGCAAATGGATAATTTGATTACATTAAATTGAAAAGTTTTTGCACAAACAAAGCCAATGCAACCAAGATTAGAAAGAAAGCAGAAAATTGGGAAAGAATTTTTACAACTAGTCTCTTTGATAAGGGCCTCATTTCTAAAATATGTAGAGAATTAAGTCAAATTTAAAAGAATACAAGTCATTCCCAATTGATAAATGGTCAAGGGATATGAACAGGCAGTTCTTAGGTGAAGAAATTAAAGCCATCTATAGTCATATGAAAAAATGCTCTAAAACACTATTGAGTAGAGAGATGCAAATCAAAACAACTCTGAGGTACCACATCACACCTATCAGATTGGCCAATATGACAAAACAGGAAAATGTTAAATGATGGAGAAGATGTTGGAAAATTGGAACACTAATGCATTGTTGGTGGAGATGTGAAATGATCAAACCATTTTGGAGAGCAATGAACTATGCCCAAAGGGCAAAAAAAATATGCATACCCTTTGACCCAGCAATAGCATTTCTAAGGCTGTATCCCAAAGAGATCATACAAATGGGAAAAGGACCCATGTGTACAAAAATATTTGTAGCAGCTCCTTTTGTGGTGGCAAAGAATTGGAAATTAAGAGGATGCCCATCAAATGGGGAATGGCTGAACAAGTTGTGGTATATGAATGTAATGGTATACTATTGTGCTATAAGAAATGATGAGCAGGCAGACTTCAGAAAAACCTGGAAACTCTTGTATGGTCTTATGCTGAGTGAAGTGAGCAGAACCAAGAGAACGTTGTACACAGTAACAGACACGTTGTGTGATGACTAATATTGATAAACTTAACCCTTTTCAGCAATACAAGGATCTAAGACATCTCCAAAGGCCTCGTGATGGAAAATGCTATCCATATCCAAAGAAAGAACTATGCAGTTTGAATACAGATTGAAGCATTCTATTTGCTATGCTTTTCTTCTGTTGTGTTTTGTTTCGTCTTTCTGGTGATTCTTCGTATGTTCTAATTCTTACTTACAACATCACTAATGTGAAAATATGTTTAATAGGAATGTATATGTATATTCTATATCAGATTGCGCTCCATCTTGGGGAGTGAGGTGGGGAAGGAGGGGGAGAAAAATTTAAAACTGAAAAACTTATAGAAGTGATTGTTGATAAATCAAAATAAATTAATTAAAAAAGAAATAATTGATGGAGGTAAGGCACTAGAATTAAGATACGCTAGAGAAGATTTCCAGCAAAGGATATGATTTTAATTGAGAAGCCAGAGAGTTCAGGAGTCAGAGCAGAAAAGAGAGTATTTCAGGTATGATGGACAGCCAGAGAGAATGCCCAGAGCTGAGAGATAGACATAGGAGGTTGTGGTTATGTAGGATTTTGAAAGCTAAACAGGGGGGTTTACATTTTATCCTTGTTGTTCAACCTTAATTTTCAAAGAGGACCTATGATAGGTGATGATTTTGCGTGAATTAGATTTGAATGAGGCAGAGTTGTACACAGCCATTGGCCCTACTCTTTTTTCCCAAGTCATCAAAGTCTACTGGCAAGACAGAAGTCAAGATGACTGGCCCAGGATGCAGTGGATTATCTTAGAATCTTTGATGTCTAACCAATCTCTAAGTGGTCCATAACATCTGCTTCAGCTGCCTTCATGGCTGTTGGAATAAATTAACATTTTATCCTAAAGGCAGTAGGAAGCCATTGTTAATATAGAGAAGTTGCATGGTCAAATCTGTGCTTTAAGGAGAAGCACTCTGGCAGCAGTGGGAGAGACTTGAAGCAGGGAAACCAACTAGGCTGTTGGGAATAATCTAGGTGAAAGGTGGTGAGGACTTGAAGTAAAGTGGTAGTTGTGAGTAGAGAGCAGGGATCAGGTATGAGAGATCTTATGAAGGTAGACATGAGAAGATCTGGCAACTGATTGGATACATGAGGTAAAGAAAAGGTCAGAGTCCAAGATTACAAACCTGAGTGGCTGAAGGTAACAGAACCAGAACCAGATACATTACTGCAAAAATCTGTATAAAAACAACTGTAAAAGGCAACTAAACAAATGAATGCAGTGACCAATTTGATCCAGTAAGCAGATGATTTTAAAAAAAAAGCATCCTCAGGTTGGGAGAGAGGTGGGGGAATATGGATAGAGAATATTGCATATGCTGTCAGATGTGGTTACTCTATTGGTCAATTTTTCTTAATTGTTTGTTGTTGTTGTTGTTACAAGGGCAAGGGAAGCCTGTATCAAGAACAGATTAGTATTTTAAAAAGGATATACAAAAAATACATAGCACTTTAAAGTTTGCAGAGTATTTTAAGTTGTGGTTTATCTTCCCACCACTCTAGTGAGTTAATTGCTAGAGATATTATTTTATCTCCATTTTACAGGTGAAGAAATTAAGAGTCAGAGAAGTTAATTACCTTAGTAGCAGTTTTTAAGTGTCAGAATAAGTGCTTAATAAACTTTTTTGCATACATTCATTCATTATAATTCAATGGAAACTAGAGACATAAAGTGCTATACTTTTCACCAAAGAGCAGAGTCAACTCCATTTAAGTTCTTTCTTAAATTCTTTGAAAAGTTTATTGGAAATAACTGTATCATGATGATTTATTTATAGTATTATTCTTTGAATAATTTATACAATGTGACCATTTTAATTTGGAGATCAGTAAAGTGCCATTAACTTCTATTAAGAAGAGGTTTGCTAAACACACTAATAATATAAACAAAGTTTCCTGCAGAATATTTAAAATGATTAATGGTCATGTCCTCACCAAAAAAAAATGTTTTTTCATTGGAAGAACTATATACCCACTAATATATTTAAGTTCATGCTAATTATACATAGCTTTCTTCCATTTACTAACTCAGGTCCCCTATACATTCTTACCATAGTTCTAGCTATCATATGTTCTAAAAAAATCATCACATTACTAAAAATTTCTGTAATTCAAAGTTTTCAGTGATTCAGACTTGACCTTTCTTCAATTAATCTCATTTGTGAAGTTTTATTAAATAGCAAAATAAATTTAATTCATAGATAGAATTTGTTAATGTTCATATTGTATTTGACAAGGACAAAAAGAGTTCTCTCATATAAATGTTTCTTTGTAGATGTTGATGAATGTGAGCGACATCTGTGTGGAAATGGAACATGTGAAAACACAGTTGGATCCTATAACTGTCTGTGCTACCCAGGGTTTGAACTTACTCATAATAATGATTGTCTGGGTAAGTACATAAATCTACCTTTTTTTTTCTTTTCAATCCTTTTAACTGTAACATGACATACTAAATAAAAAATTAAATTAAGGGAAAATTATTATTATAAATGAATATGCTTATGTTTTATATTACATGACTATAATACTTAGATCAATCATAATTGATCAGTAAACATTTATAGCCTACTCTGTCTCTGGCACTGTACTAAATTCTGAGGATACAAAAATAAGCAAAAGACAGTATCTGCCCTTAAAGAGCTTATGATCTAACGGGAGAGACAAAAACACAAATATATACAAAGCAAGCTATATTCAGGGTTAATAGGAAATAATTAAAAGAAGAGTGACTATTTCTAATTAGAATTACAGTTTTGATCATAGGCTGTGGATAAATGATCACAAAACAAATGTTTGCACCAATCTCTTCTGTCAACTAGGCAAGAAATTAAATGAAAAGGCCATTCAGAAATACTACTTTATCATCAATCAGTTCAGTCAAAACAGTAGAACGTAAGATCATAAAATTAGAGTTGAAAGGAACCTCAGAGTGAGTCTTATACGACCCCCTCATTTTATAAATGAGGAAACTGAGGCCCAAGGAAGTTAAGTGACTTTCCCAAGATTGCACAGGTAGGGTGGGAGATGCAATTGAACTCAGTCCTTTCTTCCGTGTCTCTCTTCGTTCTCTATCCATTTATTCCTCTGCATATAATTGTAACCCTTTTATACATTTGTAGTCAATGTATACTGTTCTACTACTTCTAATTTCTTTATTATTTGAGGAGTTTCGTTTCCAAAGAAAAATTTCAAAGTACTGAATATATTCAGGCTTTAAGAATTTTTGTATACAGCCTAGGAAGAGCTTTGCCCCTATATATTTTTAAATTTTTTAAATTTATTTTTGTTAATATAAATTTATTTATTTTTAGTTTTCAACATTTACTTCCACAAGATTTTGAGTCCCAAATTTTCACCCCATCTCCCCCCACCCCAAGATGACATGTATTCTGAATACCCCTTCCCCTAGTCTGCCCTCTCTTCTATCTCTCCCCGCCCCTTTTCTTATCCCCTTCCCCTTCTCTTTTCTTGTAGGGCAGGATAAATTTCTGTACCCCATTTCCTGTATTTCTTATTTTCTAGTTGGTGTGAAAACATTTTTTAAACGTGTTTTTGAAACTTTGGGTTGCAAATTTTCTCCCTTCCTCCCTCCCCACCCACCCTCATTGAAAAGGCAAGCAACTCAATATAGGTTATATATGTGCAGTTATGCAAAACACTTCCATAGTAGACATGTTGTGAAAAACTAAGTCTGTTTTCCCTTAAACTTATCCTGCCTCCCCATTTATTCTATTCTTTCTTTTGACCCTGTCCCTCCTCAGAAGTATTTGCTTCTGATTACCTCCTTTCCCAATCTGACCTCCTCTCTATCATCCCCCTGCTCTCTTGTCCTCTTCTCCCCCCATTTTCCTGTAGGGTAAGACAGATTTCCATACCCAATTGAATGTGTATGTTTTTCCCTCCTTAAACCAAATCCTAATAAGATTCATTCATTCCCTCTCACCTTCCCCTGTTTCTTCTCCACTGTAAGAGCCTTTTCTTTTCTGTTTTTTTGTGTGAGACAATTTACCCCATTCTACCTCTCCCTTTCTTCTTCTCCCAGTGTAATCCTCTCTCATCCCTTAATTTTATTCTCCAGATATGACCCCTTCATCTTCAACTCACCCTGTGCCATCTCTCTCTCTCTCTCTCTCTCTCTCTCTCTCTCTCTCTCTCTCTCTCTCTCTCTATCTATCTATCTACATACATATAATTTTCCCCTTCCAACTACCCTAATACTGACAAATGTCTCATGAGTTGTAAATATTGTCTTTCTATGCAGGAATGTAAACAGTTCAACCTTAAAAAGTCTCTTACGATTCTCTTTCCTGTTTACCTTTTCATGTTCCACTTGAGTCTTGTATTTGAAAGTCAAATTTTCTATTCAGCTCTGGTCTTTTCATCAAGAAGCCATCAGAGTCCTCTATTTCACTGAATGACCATTTTTTCCTCTGAAGGATTATACTCAGTTTTGCTGGGTAGGTGATTCTTTGTTGTAAATCCTATCTCTTTTGCCCTCCGGAATATCATATTCCATGCCCTGTGGTCCTTTAATGTAGAAGTTGCTAAATCTTGTGTTACGCCCTAAGAGAAGATCAAACGATGTGTAAAGGTAAGGATATTTAATAAGTAAAATCTAAGCTTGTACTTAATTTTGTAAAAATAGTTTTATACAGCTAATACCAACTGTGGCCATATTGGAACTATAGCTATTCCAATTCTTAAATGAATTTCATCTAGAGTAGTATTTATATTTGCTGTCATACTATATGTCATTGATTAAGTAATATTGGCCTAAGATGGTAGAATATCTGATGTTCCCCTGATTACCTTGAAGTTAGATCAGAGGGAGATTGTGTAGTAAGGTAAGAAACTATGTTATGGGACTGTTATTACACAAGACTATTATATTTAAAATAAAAACAGTTGCACTCTTCTTAGCTTTATGTCATTTGGAAGTTTTTTTAGAAATCTGGCAAAATTGCTTTAGACATCCTGAGTATTTTGAGGGGAGTTATTTCCTTAGTCTCAAAAGATTTAGTTTACAAAGGAAAATAAAATTTTAGTTTATAGAGGAAAATAAAGTTATTATTTTAAAATACTTGCGTTTGAACTTTGAACATGAACCTACTTACCAGGATTCTTTTCTTAGCTATACAGTACTCTGTTTCTTACACATCTAGAGAAATGTGTTGAAAGTTTACATGACTGTGAGTCCAGAGGCATGATGTGTAAGAATAGGATTGGTACTTTCATGTGTATCTGCCCCACTGGAATGTCCCAAAAATCTGATGGGGAAAGTTGTATGAGTAAGGTTTGGAAAAAGACATTGATATTCATTTTTCTAATAAAATAAAAAGAGAAAAGATCAAATTAAGTAGTCAAGCCCAACAAAAACCCTTCAATAGAGAGATAGTGGTCAGTAAACATGAGTCCATGAAATAAATTGGTGGGTCATTATGCTTTCTCTTTCATTAAGTATTTTGTTACATCTTAAAAATTATAGCATCCCACTTTTTACTCCTTCTACTCTTTAGCCATTCTTAGTAAACTAAACCAAATATTGGTTGCTTGGTTCCTTTTGCAAATTATTTCACTTTTAACTTAAATGTTGCCAGGTGTTTCAAAGCTAGATACCATATCCAAATTCTTCTCTTTTAGAGTATCTATTCCCCTTAGATAGATTTGCTAACTGGTAGTTAACATCTCAGTACACATCATTTTATTTTTCTTATTAACTTTTCATAATTCTAGCCTACAAAGACATGAAAGCTGTTTATTAACTGTCACTGAGGACAAAAAATATATAGTTTAATATTTAGTTAAATGTTTACCAAATTGTTATTTTTGGATTTTCTGTGTGAATCTTCCCAAAATGATAATATAGTTTATTCTGGCACAGTGCCATTAAGAAATGATTTATGGTGGAGCTAGAATGGTAGATTAGAGGCAGCAACTCAGCTAAACTCTCTCAACATTCCCGTCCTAACAACTTTAAAATAACACTTCAAATCAAATTTTGGAGCAGTCAAGCCAACAAAAGATCAGGGTGAGACATTTTTCCAGAATAAGAAAACTTAAATCAGCAGGAGACATCTTTGACACCAGAATGGAGGCCTGTCTGGAGTACATGCAAGGACATCAGCAGAGGCTCCAGCTCCAGCAGCAGCTTCAGGAGCAGTTAGGCCAGAGATGGTAAGTGGGTCAGGAACCTGGTTAGAAAGAGATTATAGGGGACCCTTTGCAGGCACTGGGTACAACTGGAACTATTTGGCAACTTTATTTCTCAATTATAGTTCTGGGTCACAGTTCCAGGGAAGAGAGGAGCACTGAGGGTCAGTCACAAGGGAATAGGGTCCATGATCTTGGTTCTAAGGCAAACAGGAACTCTAGTGCTTCTAGCTGCAGGAGACCAGGGACCCTTCCTGGATAAAGACCAGAGTGCAGACCAGGAGAGCAGTGACCATACCTCTTGCAAGATTACACCACCTTGGGTGCACCAAAAATTTGCAGATCGCCAGAACTAACTCTGAAAACAGTAGTACAAGAAAAACTTTAAGCTTGGGACATTGCCTCCCCATTCCCAAGTGAGCAGAGTCCAACTTTAGCATAAATTTCAAAGTCAAGAAATAGGTTGAAAAAATGAGCAAACAACAGAAAAATTGACCATAAAAAGCTGTGGTGGGGGGAAAACCAATTGTAAACTCAGACAACAACAGTGTGAAAATAGCTACCAAAAAACCCACAAAGAAAAATGCTAATTGGACCCAAGCCTAACACGAATTCCTGGAAGGGTTTAAGAAAGATAATCATGGTAGAAAAAAAAGTTGGGGGGCAAAATAAGAGTAATGCAAGAAAATCATGAAAAAAGAGAATTAACTGTTTGGTAAGAGAGTCACAAAAATTCTGGAACAAAAAAAAACACTTTAAAAACAGAATTGGCCTGAATTGGCTCAAAAATTTACTGAAGAAAAGAACTTCTTTGAAAACAGAATAGGACAAATGAAAAAAGAAGTACAAAAGCTCACTGAAGAAAATAATTCCTTAAAAATTAGAATTAGGCAAATGGAAACTAATGACCCCATGAGACATCAAGAAACAGTGAAGTAAAAAGAATGAAAAATAGAAGAAAATGTGAAATTATGCATCAGAAAAAAAAACAACTGACATGGAAAACAGATTAAAAAGAGATGATTTAAGAATTATTTTACTGCCTATAAGAAATGATCAAAGAAATAGCCTAGATGTTATCTTTCAGCAAACTATAAAGGAAAAGGGTAAAATAGAAATTGAAAAAATCTACCAATTATCTCCTGAAAGAGATCCCAAAATGAAAACATCCAGAAATATTATAGCCAAATTCCAGACCTCCAAGGTCAAAGAGAAAATATTTCAAGCAGCCAGAAAGAA